CCTCTCACACTCATGGATTTCTCCCTTTACCTTACCTAATTTGCTGCTAGCAGTTGTTGTGACTGGTCCAACTGAGGTCCCATGGCCAGAAGTAATGGAGCCTGCAGATACTCTTGTTGTCCCTAATAACAAGAATAGGTTTGGAGGGTATATTGAATATGCCTATTACTCTTGAGATTTCCAAACAAAGAAAGTGAAGGACACTATCCTTCCAACTTTTCTTAGGCCAACAATATAATTTCTTTTTCTTTTTGGTATCAGGATTGAAACCCAAGGGCACTCGACCACTGAGTCACATCCCTAGACCTTTTTATTTTTTATTTGGAGACAGGGTCTCACTAGGTTGCTTATAGCCTCCCTAAATAGCTAAGGCTGGCTTTGAACCTGCAATCTTCCTACCTCAGCCTCCTGAGCTGCTGGGATTACAGGTGTATACCACCAGGTCTGGTTTCTAATTGCATTTGAGTCTAATATTTTAAACCAGCATGTTCTGTGATTGTAGGGCAGGCAAATATGGGAGCTGCTGAGGCATCATGTCCAGTCTGGTTTAGCTTATCAGAAGCTGGAGCTCCAGTGCCTGTTTCTCCAGGGGGTACTGTCAGGGGTTGCTTCAGATGATACCCTAGCTATACCTGATATTTATCAGGGATAAAAAGCTATCAGACTAAAAAAATATAAAGCCAGAATGTTCTTTTGAAAATGTCCCGACTTCCATTTGTCATTTTCCTTAAAAAAAAAAAAAAAAAAAAAGTGGATGTACCTATGCTTTAAACTTCACTGACATGTTAAATCCTTGGTCATAGTAAGTTAGTTAAATCAGGAAACTATGTATACTGATGCCATTTTTTTAATAAAATGCAATAATCATGTACCATGCACTTATGATCCAATTCGCATATTTCCCCTACTTTATCTTGATGATTGTTTATTAATTTTTTTTCAAAATGAAATTGAGGGTGAAAATGTATATTGCCTTGTTCTTGTCCTGAATTCTACAGAACAGGAAAGAAAATAATGGGTATATTCAAATGTTTGTTTGGCATATTATTGATTCTATGAATATTTAGCATCACATAACAAGGTTTAGGTTCCCCCAGAAAACCCTGTCTCTGATTAGCAAACAGCTCTCTTATCTACTGCCTGGATTTCATCTGTTTAAGTTCCATCAGTACCTGTCCTTCCAGATGTGTTTTCACCAGCAGAGACAGTGGTGGCTGTGTCAGTTCCTCCTCTCGTTGCTAAGAAGAAGA